AAACTGTGGGGTTCTATATGCTATTTTCTTAGTCTTTGGGTTGTGGAGCCCAGGCAGAGATGCCTGAGGTGGTAGAAAGAAAGGCCTGGGAGACAGGAGATCTAAGTTGGAATCATGTCTCAGGGACACTGGCCGAGTCTGAGCTTGTTCTTTGATCTAGATCATGGGACTGTATGCACCTTGAGGGGCTGCTGAGAGCAAGAGAAACAGATGTATGCAAATAGTCACAGGCAGGCTTTGCTGGGAACAGATGCTCACTGCATGACACTGCTGTTCTCTATAAAGATCACTCTGTTTGTAGGAACAAAATGTCTTGAGACGTGTGTTTTTGGGGAGTGGGTACTTTTTTTTTGGGGGGGGTCAGGTGCAGGGAATCAGTTTTCCAAGTAGAAGCATGAGCTTGCAAATTGTCTACCCAACCAAGCATACTTCACTTTTCACTGAAGTGAAAATTGGCTACATTTATATAAAAATTGGGGCCTGGACACAGGAGAAGCACCTGAAGTTATGTCTAGTTGCACCACACAGACTTGACTCAGGTCCTTTGAAGTTGAAAGGCCTTGGGCTCTGAAGCTTTGTAGAGACAGCCCTGCCTTGTCATCCGGTTTTCCACTCCTCTCTGGGAGGGCAGTTCTCCTGTGCCTGAATCTTTCATTGGTAGCGTTGGCTTGTGACAGCCCTTGCTTAGGAATTCTGTCTGAAGGACAGCAGCAGGCATCACCTTAGAAGTCAAAGCTGAAGCCACAGGCCAGCAATTAAGAGAGTCAGAATTGCCATGAGCTCACCCTGGTGCACAGCACTGTCTTCAGTGTGTCCCTGGGTACCATGGCTGTCCTGTCTACTGCCACTCCCAAACTACCAAGTATCTCGAAAATACCAGTACAAGCTCCTGAAGATAAAGGGACTCCGCAGGATTAATTTAGCTCTTGAAGAATCCCACAGGGCCTTCGAGAGCGGGGTGATAAGTAGCTGCCTACCTCTTGGAGGGTGCCTTCCACACATTCTTTGCCTTCCTGGCCTCGGGTTAGAAAACTCCCTGAGACTACTGAATCCCTAACAGTGGCATGCTTGTCATATTTGCTTATTCAATGAAGAACTCTTGTAGTAAGGACACACGGGGTGAGGACACACGGGACAGCCACTTTTCTGATGCTGTCTGTCACCGCACCAGTACCCCACACCCCTCTTTGGAGACTCAAGCTGTGGGAGCAGAAGCTCCTGTATGAAGTCAGTCTGGCTCAGAGAAGAAAGAGATGGTAGCAGTCAGCGCTGCGCCTTCCCCTTGGGACACACACCTAAGACCTCAAGACCCTCCACCAACTAGTTCAACAGCCCAGAGCACACACTCAGATCCCACCCATGGCCCACCCTCTCTACAGCCTTCTGAAACACACCTGTGGTAGCTACATCTTCTAGGTCCCTGTCCTGCAACATGTGTCTTACAGTTGAGGTGGTTTGTGTCCTTCCTGTCTGCCTTAAGGTGGAGGTGTTGCCTGGGCAACGGTGATGCCATCTGAGGTGCTTGCATTCCAGTGATGTCACTGGGTGGGGCACATGGGCATGGGGGATGTAGTCTCTATGGGGTCCTAAACCACCCAAAACATTGAAGAGGTTCTCTCAAAAGACTTTTTTTTTTTTTTTTTTTTTTTTTTTTTTTTTTTTTTTTTTGTAGTTGTTGTTTAGAGGCCTTCCCACCCTGCTCTCCTGTCTGGGCACTTGCTGCAGGACAAGTTTGAAATTGGCTTGGGCCAGAAGGTCAGCTTTGTCCTCAGCTTGAGGAGAAAAGGAATCTCTCCTTCTGTCCCGGACAGAAGGATAGTGGATAGGACAATCTAGATCCCCGTGGCCTTGCTTTTTTGACCAGACCTCAGTGGACAAAGCATTAGCCTAATAGAAATTAGGAGGAAGCTTAGTCTAGCCACATTGTGGCATGGGCCAGGCATTGTGCTATGTGGTTTTTATTACCTCTTCCCTGAGAGGGCTTATCCTAACTTTTCAAATGACACTAAGACTTGGAATAGACAAGGCACCTGCCCAACCATTGAGAACCCACAATGATAGAACAGTGGAGCTCGGACTCAACCCAGCCCTAGCCAGTCCAAAGCACACACAGGCCACATCTTGATTGTAGAGGACCTGGAGACACGGCCCACTAATCATGAACCCAGAGTGGCCCCAGACAGAGAACAGGGGGAGAGGCCATCTGGGCAGGGCAGGTGGCTTGAGGCAGCCAAAGCAGACACTGTCCTTGGTAGGCCTCACTTCCAGGCTTAAGTAGAGGTTCTAAGTGGCAACCTGTACTCTCCCACTCCCCAGGGCCTTAGCACCAATGGCAGACCATGCTTCTTTGTTCTGGGCTTGGCTTCTGTTGACTCGCCCAGGTCACCTGAATATCCTACTGATTTGCATGTAGCAGACAACACAGCCCTGAAACCCTGAGATTGTATAATGTTTACCTTATGCAAATATATGTAACCGAGGGTTAGTGCTTACAAAGCACTAAACAAATAAGTAAACACAATGAAAAAACAATGCTGCATTATGAAAACATAAAGGGCAAAATCCTCCCAGGAGGCATCTTCTAAAGCACATGTAGGTCTCTTAGTGGGCATATCTGTAAGGCGCCAAGGCCTGTGATGTGAGCCACACAGGCAAACAGGCAATCTGTTGGCCCCAGGCACCAATTAATGAATTACTTAAGTGCTGAGACAGGTGGTATAGCAGCTAAGCCATCTTTGAGTTGGAGTCGAGAGAGGAGTGTGAGAAAGAGTCTCCTCCGTGGTTTTGGGAAGGACACGTGCGGATAAGTAGGATTTGATGGTGGCAGGAAGAGGGCACAGAGGGGTGAAAGGTCTGGAGAGCAAGTCAGCATGTTCGGCCTCTCTCAACGCCCTCTACTTCTCGGGAAACCCCACCCTGCATGCAGCTGTCACTTTTTCCTTCTGCACCACACCCAGGTGGCACTTACTCATCCCTGTCACTTCAGGGTGCAAACTGGATCTGCCACCTCACAGGGCCATTTGATGCTTGGGGCAAGCCTCATGTTGTCCACCAAGGCGGGCTCGCCTCCTTCCTTCCTCCTTCCCCTGCTGGATGAGTCTGCCATCTTTTTCTCTTCATTTTTATTTTATGTATGGGTGTTTTGCTTGCATGTTTGTCTGTGCCCCACTTGCAAGCCTGACATCCTTGGAAGCCAGAAGGTGGTTTTCTGGTCTCTGGAACTGGACTTACCAGATAGTTGTGAGCCACCATGTGGGTGCAGTGGAATTAAACCAAGGCCTTCTGGAAGAGTAGCCAGTGCTCTTAACCACTGAGTCATCTCTCCAGCCCATATTAAATTCTTAATAATTGACTACTGTCAATGATTGTCCAGTTAGTATATTGTTCGAGAGAAGCAGGCTGGGGAAGCAAGGACAGCTCTCTGCTGCTCAGCTATGAGACCCTTGTGTTAAATGGCACCATATAGCACCATCTTGCTAAGAGTGAGGACTGTACTCTAACCCACACAAAGGACAGGGTTGGTAGTGTTGGCTTTGGAGGTTACCATCGGCTCTCAGTATCCTCACCGTTCCATTAAGACTGGATAAGGGCATCCAAGACAACCAACATCAGGCATGAATCACATTTCGCTTTTTGAAAAGCCTGACTTAGTACACTGCCCCAATACAGCCTCATAGGCTGCAGCACCTACGATCCTTTCTGGAGGTACCTCTCACCTCCAAACATGGAAACCGAGAGGCATGTACCCTGAAGGCACTGCTCCCTTCATAACCTCTGCTCACACTGATGGCCAGCACATTGCCTGTTGTGGTCTGTTGATCCCCATCTCTGTTCTAACCAGGGAATCTGAAACCAGGCTGAACAAGCCATTTTCTTTTTATCAAGTTTCAATGCTTGGAATGCCTGCCAGCCATAGCCATGCCCCTATGCTTCTCATCCCTGGGTTACATATGGTGTAATCCTTTTCCTTCATCAGATACACTCTCTCCACTGTCCACATAATCTTAGCCCTTTCCCTCTGAACAAGTTCTGGTTTGCCGGCGATGCACCTCCACACAGTGGCTTTGAGAACTGGGCTAGCTTACTCCACTGGCTCAGCCTTACTCTTGTAGGCTGCAGAATGCCAGGCACGGTACCACTGTCTCCATGGAGACAATGCATGCTTTTATCAAACAGGATCCCTTTGCACACTAACCCCAGAGGGTTCAAAAAGGAAAACTATAAAACCAGGTTTCTTCCAGACAGTAGGCAATTATCTCCCAGAAGCCAACACACCTTCTTGCCCTCTGATTAAAAAGTTCACCCACACACCCTTTATGTTTCGCTCATGGCCTGGAGAGCTAACAACTTTTGGGATGATGGCATCAGGTTAAAAGTTCAGGTCTTTACTCCCTCAAAACCGGAGTCTGAAACTGCTGTGTCTCTGAAAATTACTCACTGAGAGGGTAGTGTGTGCACAAATGCTTTTCCATTTTCCCCAGGGATCCATCCAGAGAGTGGGTATAACCACATGGTTACCCACAAGTGGAAAATCTGAAAGCAGTGTGGCCTGGAGCAGCAGCGATTCTCAGAGAATCAGCGAATAACAAGGTCACTTAGGCATAGCAGGCTGTTAGGCAGGCACCAGAGAATCAGCAAATAACAAGGTCACTTAGGCATAGCAGGCTGTTAGGCTGATCATTCAGGAGGTGAATGATCCTTTTCACTGCAGACCTGGACCAATGACTACAGCAGCTGTGCTGGCTTTAGCCGGCGGCCTCTCCAAAGCAGAACTGGTTCGTAAAGAGAAGAAACCCGAAAGACAACAGAGAGCCACCCAACATTGATTTATATGGTGCCAGTTTCCGGTCCTTTCTGTGTTGGAAAGGGTGACCATTCTCATACTAGGCGGTGGGGTAAAAGGCTAAACGAGGTGCTCCCTGGTTCTGTCACTATTTTCCCATTTTGTATGGAGACCGGCCAGGGGCTTCTAACGGCTAGGGGCTTCTAAGTCCATTTACCTGGCAGCCTGAGCGAGGGAAACTCAGAGTGGACCTTGAGGATGGGGCTGGGAATCAAAGGCAGAGACTATTTGGAGCCCAGGAGAAAGTTTTGCAGAGCATAGGGTCTACTCCATTAGGAGTCCTGAAAGAGGAAGTGGCAGGGGCTTCATCCGGCCTGAAGCAACCTCCTTGCGTCAAGACAGGCTACAACAAACAAACGTCACTCCCATTCCTTTCTCCCAGAACTGAGGCTCGGCTACCCAACCCGGTTTGGGAGATGGAAGGTCCGGCTCTGGGCCACAAACACGTGGCCCCACTAGGGGCTCCGAAGCCTGCAGCGCGGGGAGCAGAAGCAGCTTGCTTCCCAGATTGCTGGAAGCACTCGAGGGGTTAGGCGGCGCCGGGGCGGAGAGACCCCAGGGCATCACCCACGAAGAGTGGTCGTGAGGGAGACAATGCCCACTTCGCATGCGTGCATTAAAGGAGCTCCCAGCGTCGGTCCCGGCCAGGGTCCCGGAATCCGTCGCACCCCGCGCTCCCCGGACCACGATCTCCCGCGCAACGCCGCGGGAGTCCCCAGTCCCCTGCGCGCCCTTCATCCCACACACTCGGAGCTTGGGGAGCCGCAAAGCCTCACATTCCAGCCCCGCACTCACGTTCGGCCGCAGCAGCCGCAGGGGACGGAGTGGGCCTGGCTCCACGCGCGCGTCGGGGTCCCGGGACAGCAGGCGGCGGGGATCCTGGGATCCCGGGATCCTGGGTTCCTGGGACGCGGGCGACCAGAGCGCCAAGACTCCCGCCTCCTGGACTCCTCCCGCCCCGCGCTACTGGGCTGCACAACTACTCATTTCCGCGTTGTCACGGAAACTTTTGCTCCTTATAAGAACAAAACACCCGCCTCTACTGGCGCCTGTCGGAGGCCCTTAAGGGCGTCTGTGCGGTTCCCGCCGAGGGCCTGTGGGTCTGCCTCGGAGATCTGCCTGCTGGTCTCCCAGGTGCTCCAGAGAGGACAGCGGATTTGGACAGCGACCTGGAGCCAAGGATCTGGCGGCTGAAGAGGACGAGGGAAAGCAGACGGGGAACCGGGAAGGACGTCCTTAAAAGGCCGTCTAGGCCGCAGAATGCAAAGGGTTAAGTCATTGCAAGTCAACCCGCGTTTCTGTGGCGCGTTTTACAAGCGGAGGGATTCCCGGGGGCCACCTATTTTGTCCCTCTAGGAAAATATAAGTCGAGACACAGGGCCGGCCTGGATTAAACAGTTCATTTTACGGTTATGAGCGCATTGTCTCTCGGCCGGAGTAACCAGGCACCAGACGGCCGAATGCTGTAGGGGGCGCTCTCCTTTCCACTGTCAAGTCAGACGTAGCATCGCTCTTAGAGCAGGAAGAGAGTGCAGAGCTTTGTAGCACGCGTACTTTAGACAAAAGTTTAATAGTTTATCTCCTGCCCTTCCTTTGTGAGCAGCACAGGGTTCCCACACCTTAGGGGAGTGGCTGGAACGGGCTGGAGTAAATTATTCGCTTCAGGAGCGCCCAGGGAAAGCGGAGGAAATAGGTGTCTTATGACTTTACTACTGGCGTTTGGTCTTAGAGCATCGTGCTTTCTTTCTCCGTCCAGCCCGGTGACTTTTAACACTCTTCTAGAACGCATAGGCCGTCTGCAGGATAAACAGGCGATGAGGAAAAAGGTCTAAAAATAGACCCTCTGGTCCTTGGCCCACGGCACTTTTATGTTCAATCTTTGGTGGACGCCTGCTCAGAACCCTTCCTGAGGTGGCAGATTCTTGCTGCAGAGTTGGGGGCTAGGGAAGGGAGAGGAACTTTGGGAATTATCAAAAGAGCCGTGTATTTCCCAAATGTCTCCAAGTTCAGTGGACAGGACACCCAGAACAGGTGGGGGAAGTGTCTGGGACGTGGGGGCAATCAGTCCTTTGGCTACTTCAGTGTTATGTTTGGAATGTCAAGGTTAGTGCTCCAGTGCACTCTGGGATTGACATCTGCCTGCAAAGTCTATTTCAGGACTTTGTAGCAAGCTGAATATACGTATTCATTCATATAAGGATCATTTATTATTACATTTGTTTGCCTTTTGAGCCTGATGATTTCACCCCAATGCTGCCTTTAATGTTCTGTCATTCTCAGGACCAGAAGGTCCATCGTCCTAGCTTGGCATACAAGCCCCTCCCGAGTTGGCCTCTTTTCATGTCCCTAAGCTCATAACTGACACGCACTCATACACACTCTCACACCTACCCGGTCTCTCTGTCTCTGTCTCTGTCTCTGTCTCTCTCTCTGTCTCTCTCTCTCTCTCTCTGTGTGTGTGTGTGTGTGTGTTGATTATATTATTTAATTTGTAAGTTATTAAAGCTTACCTGAGGATTCAGTAAACAAAATCAGCCACAAGCCATAGAAGCCAGGCACACACCTTTAATCACAGTGGCCAGAAGCTAGGAGATGGTGCTACACACTTTTAATCCTAGGACTCAGGATTAAGAGGTAGCCAGATCTCTGTGAGTTCAAGGTCACCCTGGGCTACACGAGAGTGAATCAGTCAAAAAGTGTAACAGACCACACGCCTTTAATTGCAGCCCTAGAGGGATATAAAAGATAGAAACAGAGACTTCAGTGTTCCATAAGAGGCACTCATTCTCCAGCCATGCTGAGGAGAGGCAGCAGTTTGAAGCTTGGTGAAGAGCTTGTGGATCAGCCTTTTCAGCCTGAGGTAGTGATAAGAGCTAGTGGCCAGTTACTTTGTTTTTCTGATTTTCAGCTTGAAGTTTGAACCCAATATTGTCTTTTACTTATTCCTGCCTCTCTCTCTCTCTCTCTCTCTCTCTCTCCTCTCTCTCTCTCTCTCTCTCTTTCTCTCCCTCCCTCCCTCCCTCCCTCTCTCCCCACAGGTTCCTAATTATGTGTTCAGTATTCAGGTGTCAAGAAAGAGAATCCTTCCCAGAATCCTTGCCTGGGTTGGACACCCCCTAGGGAGCCCATGGTCTTGAATTATAGAAAGATAGAAATTTAGACTTAGATTCATTTGCCCAAGGCTGGAATGCTGGGGAGGCTCTTTAGGTACTGTAAGATGGACAAATCCTCTTCCCATTGGTATTGGATAAGGAAATGTGTGGTTTGTCTGGGGCTTCGACTAATAAAAAAACAAAACAAAACAAAACAAAATCCCCAGGCAGGGGATAGATGACCATGAGTTCAAACCCATCCTGGATCACACAGGGAGGGTACACAACATGACCTGGTTTCAAAATAAAGCTAAGACAGAGCCTCAGAAAGACTGCCCAGGTGCTGGACAGTTTACATCAACTTGATACAAGCTAAAGCCAGTTGAGAGGAGAGAACTTCAATTGTGAAATCCCTCCACAAGACGGGGCTGTAGACAAGTCTGAAGGACAGTTTCTTAACTGGTGATCGATGGGGGCGGGCCCAGCCATTGTGTGTTGTGCTGTTTCTGAGCTGGTGGTCCTGGGTTCTATTAGAAAGCAGGCTGAATGAGCTATGGAGAGCAAATAAGTAAGCAGCACCCCTCCATGGCCTCTGTATCAGCCCAGGCATCCAGGTTCCTGCCCTGTTTGAGTCCCTATTCTGAATATAAATTACAATGTAGAGTATAAGCCAAATAAACCTTTTGTTTTTGATCATGGTGTTTCATCACAGTGCTAATATCCCTAACTAGGACAGTCTCCACACAAATCAAACACCTTATGCCTTGCATGGGTGTGAGGTACACTATTCATGAGAGGGGCATGGAGGGTGGGGGAAGCGAGGGAATATGAAATGTCACCGCTGGGAGAGGCTATAACTAAGTGGCAGAGCATCTTCTCAGAGTCTTGATTGGATCTCCAGTGCCACAATAGTCAGAATGTAGAGGAGAGCATAGATAAGCTGGTAAAGCTACCAATACTAAAGAAAATTTAGTATTTATACTTAAAAACTTCAGTGGTGGGTGTGCTTTCCTGTTAAGACAGAAGAAATATGTTAGGAAAACATATCACTTGTTTGTCCCGAACCAGTTTATGGGTGTGTGTGTGTGTGTGTGTGTGTGTGTGTGTGTGTGTGTGTGTGTGTGTGTGCACTAACAATTAATGAAAGAAGAGGCCATGAATTTTAAGGAGAATGAGAAGCAGTATAGGGAGGGTTTGGAAGGAGGAAAGGGAAGGGGAAATGTTGAAACTGTATCAAAATCTCAAAGCACGTTGAAGTATAAAAATGACATAAAAATGAAATAACTCGCAAAAAGAGAAAGAAAGAAAAGTCGTAATTTCACTTATGGTTCTGTGTCAGAAATCTTAAACAAGAGCTGGGGAGACAACTTCTGTGGTTGAGAGAAGCAGCTGCCTTTGCCAAGGACCCAGGTTCGAGTTCCAGAATCGACAAAGCAGCTCACAACTGCCTGTAATTCCAGTTTCAGAGGATCCAGTGCACTCTTCCAGCTTCCTTGGGTACCCCCACCATACACAGTACACAGAAGTACATGCTTACAGAAACACTCATACACACAAAATAAGATAAAAATAAAAATAAATCTTAAATAAAACATTAGCAAACAGAGCCTCAGCAGTTTACAGCACAAACTGCAAGAGAAGAATTGAAAACTCACCACAATAAAATGCTCAATAGAATTCAGCATCCAAAGATAAACAAATATTCCTGCAACACAAATAAACTAAGGGTGAAGTTCAGCTCCCAACCATCAGCAACATACTTGCTGGAAATGCTGAGGCTGGGGGCCAGATGAGTCCCTCCCTCCCTCC